GTTTAACTATTGAATACGAACTACGGAAATGTATGGAATGTTTAAATACTAAACACGTGCTTTTCAACTAATAAACACAAACGCTGGAACAAATACGTGGGATGTTCAACTATTAAACAGTACATGTAATGTGCTGTGCTGTTCACTTATTAAACATGTGCGGTGGAAAAATGTCCGGGGTGTTTAACTATTAAACACGAACGACTAAAAATGTGGGATATTGAACACGAACGACGAACACGTGGGCGTTTAACTAATAACATGTATGATTGAAATTCATGCATAGGGATGTTTCACGTTTAAACCCGTACGACCGTGACGGAAAATGTAAATCATCGATGCTTGGCGACAATTTTTAGTACCATATTATCCGTCATGATTAAATCGCCGTAATATTCGCCAGTTTCTTCATGGTTTGATTAAATATCGCGTCGTACGATGGCTAGTTTTTGTTCGACGTTCCTCATTTAAACGTGTCCTTGTATCTTGTGATTACATTGAACATAATACATGCACATAACACACAGTTGGATCCATGACACGGCATTTCATTTCTACGTGATTTAAGTCAAAATGACCGGACTGTTATTTTCTAGAACGTGCTTTATAAAATGCATGCCTTTTCAATAGTTAGTCCGATTGAATATCTATTTTTGGCTTTTGCACATTATTATACTTTATTGCAATTCAGTAGTATGCAGAAATACATTTTTGTGCGTGTCATGTGCCGATTTGTCTCGAAAATGGTTGACTAACTTCTGAAGAGAGCGACTTTCAAGTTGTTGTGTAATTTTGTTCGTTTCTGGCATTGTGAGCCGATGTTGAAAGGCCATGAATAATTGTTGATGAATAATTGCCGCCATATCGTTTGGATGTGTCTCAGTGGGACCGTTACACTGTACGGCTGCAGTGAAGATTATATCTGACGTGTAACATGTGTACGTTGTTTTGTTTTAAATCGAAGTGGCCGACCAATGGCCATGGCGAGTTTTACCTCAGAATAGGTGTAATTAAACTCTCTATGGACGGACATAGACACTGGAAACAGTATCGACGCTTTATAACGCAATACTGGCGAAAGCTTATTCTTGTTGTTGACTTCTTCATGATTTATAATAGAATAACAATGTTACTTTTGCAGTTTACTGTCTAGTACTCCTTTGATAAAAGAATGAAAACAAAAATCATTAACGCACATCATGATGTGCGGTGGTGATTACCCTTGTACCCACCTACCAGATAAATCATTTCAGCGCAAAAAAAAAGACTTTGTTTTCTCTGATAAATCATATTTCAATGTATTCATCCACACGTCCACATTGCATCTATAAATGTAACAAACTGAATCAACCACACATGTTCTGGGTAACGTTAGAAAAGTTTACTTTTCTGTCGTAGTCTGCCGTACAATGCTGGCTTGCTCTCACTAAAAACCATCTTCAAAATGTAAAGCTTGGTTATTCTGGTATGATTGTTTATTGAAATATGCTAATTAAAATGACATGGGATCTCTTGCAGTAGATTTGTTTGAAAGTAAAAGTAATTACATTCGGTCTATATAACCTCGCGCATAAGTTCAAATTCTGGCGTTTCAGGTGGAACCCTTAATTTATTACCAGTTGAGCACATGCCCGGTCATTATGTCATTTCAAAAACCATTGCGCAAATGAATAGAAGGTATTAAGACTCGTCTGCCCATGCATGCACCTACCCTGGAAATGTGTTTACGAGAGTGCGTAATTATGGTGGTGCCGAGCGAAAGAGTAAACAACCCATACCATGCGTGACGAGTGTGCATGCGGAAAATGTGATTTTACGAGCTTTACGGGGAGTGTTCATTTTATATGATGTGATACAACATGTATACGTCGTTGGTTGAAAAAATACCATGTTTAAACACTATTGCGCACATGTCCGCATTTATCTATACGTATATGTGGTTCGAAGAGCAATATTTGTCCCCCATTATTTTATCTAACGTATACTGCCATGATAGCAACCATGCAATATATCATTTTCTACCGTCTTATCAAGTTTCGAAGACGTCATGAATGAGTTGATAGTCAAATTGAATTAAGATTTGTTGTGAACTTGCAGAATCCTTCATTGTTAACATATAATAATCCGCACGTTCAATGATTGTTATTGTACAAAACAAAACTTACGTATTAAATAATATCAATGTTCGTGATATGAACATTATTATACATCTGTCACCGTAACGCCATAAATTACAGCGTGTCATAATTTTGCGGTATTTTACGGGGTATTTTCATCCTACCATATAAGGAAATGCGAATTCTAAAGCGTCCTCTATTAATAAAAAACAAACATGGCTGCCAACAGGGTTTGACCAGACTCTTCACAAAGAAGTTCGCTGATTCTGTTCTAAACTTTTTGGATTTCGGCATTCCCATGATGTATGATTGGAAGGAAGCAACATAGGTGGG